TTGAAGATGCCTAGGCAGATCATTCAAAATTATAAAAAAATATATTTAATAATACTTACTTGGCTGACAGTCTATTTTTGTGCAGACAGGATCACCATCAACGCATGTACAAGTATTACAGTCATCTTTATATCTTTCACCATTGTAGTACACCTTTCCATCAATTTTACAATCTTCAAGTTATAATGAAAAATATATTTCAAGCAGATTCTGTTGTCAAGATGACAGACGAGTATTAAAGTTAGCATGCACAGAAGTCTCGTTCTTAAGGTTCACATTCCTCTAAATTTAGATTCACAGATGGTGCAAAGAAACATCTATCTAACCTTACATTAAGCTAAATATATCTAGTCATGTGCCGTCTAAGATATTGGAAACGTACCTTGACTTGATGGAAAACAAGACTTTTTGGTACAGGCTGCACCTCCTCTTACACACTGACATTTGTTACACTCTATTTGGAAGCTTTCCCCTTCTTCATACTTTATTCCAATGTGCTGACATGTGCCTGTAAAATTAAAGATTAATGAAATAACCAGTGCTAAAATATACAAACATCACAAATATAAAGTTGATTCCTAATGCGAATGACTCGGTGAAAATAATGACTTTGTGAGTGATGATAAGTATTTGAAGATGCGTAGGCAGATCATTCAAAATTATAAAAAAATATATTTAATAATACTTACTTGGCTGACAGTCTATTTTTGTGCAGACAGGATCACCATCAACGCATGTACAAGTATTACAGTCATCTTTATATCTTTCACCATTGTAGTACACCTTTCCATCAATTTTACAATCTTCAAGTTATAATGAAAAATATATTTCAAGCAGATTCTGTTGTCAAGATGACACACGATTATTAAAATTAGCATGCCAATTCAGGGGGTTTCATTTGGAGTGAAAAAAATAATGTCTATCTAATGCGACTTTTTTAAATTGGGTAAATACATAAAATTTTACAACTACAACAATACATTACGATATGTCGCATATTATTAATATTGGTCCGATACTGGATGAAGCTGCAAATACATTAGAAACGATTTTAGAACAGAAGTCTCGTTCTTAAGAATAGCATTTATCTAAATTTAGATTCACAGATGGTGCAAAGAAGCATCTAACTAACCATACATTGAGATAGATATCTAGTCATGTGACGTCTAAAATATTGGAAACGTACCTTGACTTGATGGAAAACAATACTTTTTGGTACAGGCTGCACCTCCTCTTACACACTGACATTTGTTACACTCTATTTGGAAGCTTTCCCCTTCTTCATACTTTATTCCATTGTGCTCACATGTGCCTGTAAAATTAAAGATTAATGAAATAACCAGTGCTAAAATATACAAACATCACAAATGTAAAGTTGATTCCTAATGCGAATGACTTTGTGAGTGATGTTAAATATTCCAAGAGGCTTTTCTAAATAAATTCATTTCTAAAAAAACATGACGGACAAGGCACTATATATAATTCAAAATTATAAAAAATATATTAAGTAATGCTTACTTGGCTGACAGTCTATTTCTGTGCAGACAGAATTACCATCAACGCATGTACAAGTATTACAGTCATCTTTATATCTTTCACCATTGTAGTACACCTTTCCATCAACTTTACAATCTTCAAGTTATAATGAAAAATATATTTCAAGCAGATTCTGTTGTCAAGATGACACACGATTATTAAAATTAGCATGCCAATTCAGGGGGTTCCATTTGGAGTGAAAAAAATAATGTCTATCTAATGCGACTTTTTTAAATTGGGTAAATACATAAAATTTTACAACTACAACAATACATTACGATATGTCGCATATTATTAAGATTGGTCCGATACTGGATGAAGCTGCAAATACATTAGAAACGATTTTAGAACAGAAGTCTCGTTCTTAAGAATAGCATTTATCTAAATTTAGATTCACAGATGGTGTAAAGAAGCATCTATCTAACCATACATTGAGATAGATATCTAGTCATGTGACGTCTAAAATATTGGAAACGTACCTTGACTTGATGGAAAACAATACTTTTTGGTACAGGCTGCACCTCCTCTAATACAACGACAATTGTTACACCCTATTTTGAAGCTTTCCCCTTGAAGCTTTCCCCTTCTTCATACTTTATTCCATTGTGCTCACATGTGCCTGTGAAATTAAAGATTAATGAAAGTACCCGTGCTAAAGAATACATACATCACAAAAATAAGACGCATTCCTAATGCGTTTGACTCGGCGGAATTGAAATGACCTTGTAAGTGTTGTAAACGATCTTTTTTCAAATGAATCCATTTCATAAAAAAAACCATGAAACGCAAGGCACTATATAATTCTCAATTATAAATAATATATTAAATAATGCTTACTTGGCTGACAGTCTATTTTTGTGCAGACAGAATTACCATCAACGCATGTACAAGTATTACAGTCATCTTTATATCTTTCACCATTGTAGTACACCTTTCCATCAATTTCACAATCTTTAAGTTATAATGAAAATATATTTCAAGCAGATTCTGTTGTCAAGACGACAGACGAGTATTAAAGTAAGGAGTTGTTGTTGGTTCAGAGACGGTTTCAGGAAAGAGTTTGTTCTTTTCCTCTTAAAACTGAAATCACAGATTTCATCTATGTATTTTTATCTAATTTTTCTTTAAGGGATACCAAGTTGCGTTTCATCAAAAAAAAAAAAAACTGCAAACGTTACCTTGACTTGATGGAATACAAAACCTTCTGGTACAGCCTACACCTCCATTTTGATTACAATGACAATTGTTACACCTTATTTGAAAATGTTCTCCTCCTTCATAGGTTATTCCATTGTGCACACAATTGCCTGTAAAATTGATAATTCGTAAATAGGGCAGAAAAACGACCCCAGTCAACGGTATATTGTACCTACTGCAGTTAGAGATTTTAGTTCTGAAACACAGTATTATCCTATAAAAGATAGTGTTGGCCACGACAGATATGTGAATTAGGCCTACGATTTTCTTTTAATCTGATTTGATTTGTTACGTTCTATTTTCAATTAATGTACTGTTGTAAGGAATAAGTTATACAAATTACCTTGTATAAATGTCGCTAAGGATAACAGAAGAGCGACTTGAATTACCAACCCATACATCTTGAAACCTGTGGCTGTTACTGTGTACTTCCGCATTTAAATCCAATATGGATTCTTGTAGGAAATCATACAATTTATACAGTTTGATTCACAGATTCGTAAAAATGTAACTTATGACATCACAGATGTTGCAATTATTCAACATTACCCAGTAGAGATTTATGTTATGCATCAACTGAAAAAATGTTTTCAATTTTTGAATTTTTTGTTGATAATTTCCTCATTGTAAATTGTTGGAATTCTTTAGGTAGGTAGGTAGGTAAGTAGATGACAAGTTAACGTTCGCTTCTAGCGGATGCTGATATCGCAAACTAGGTAGTTGTTGATAGTCGTAGTAGTTGGTAGTTGGAATTCTTTAGACTTGTTTCATCTCTTTATACCCTACATAAATCTATTTATAACTCCATGATACCATCTCATTATCTTTTCTTCGTAGTCCAAAACATCTTCCTCTATTCCAGTCTATGATAGCTATTTTCACAGTTGCTGACTGGTGATCCTGTCCCTTTCGAAGGATGTATTCTGATCTTGCGACTTGCAGATTCTGCTAGAATGTAGATTCCTCATTGATAGCAACAGTAAAAATTTGATCAGGAGCGGATTTTGATCGACATTTTTGCACCAGATAATGAATGCTTACATTATGAATATGTATATATTTAATAAGTATTAGTTTTAAGAAGTGTTTTTGTATATATTTATATGACAGCTCATTTATTATCATTTCTTTTTTTTATACTTCTATATATATATATATATATATATATATATATATATATATATATCTATATGGCAACCGTGGAATAGTTTGTTTTAGTCTAGAGTTGATGTTACATTCGTCATACTTCCGTGGCATTACAAGTGAAAAAAATACGTATTCATATATATATATATATATATAGATATTTTCGGTAATCTTTAATTTTACAGGCACATGTAAGCACAATGGAATAAAGTATGAAGAAGGGGAAAGCTTCCAAATAGAGTGTAACAAATGTCGTTGTATTAGAGGAGATGCAGCCTGTACCACAAAAACATATATTTTTATTTTTATGAATATATTTTGCACAAGTCGAATTTTTGGATTGCACAACTCGCAGGAAATGGCATTTATCAAGTAAGCTTATATCGACTTTGCTGGGAAAGAGAATGATTCATCATTGAAAAATCACCGAATTTTCGACTAATTTTGAGTTACAGAAAAATGAAAATACAAATAATAATTTTCACTGTTAAAATGGTACTTAATACCATTCTGCTCAACTTTCGCCAATGTTCGTTAGTTTCCGTGAGTTGAACAGTGACTCGACCATGAAAGGCTAACCTATTGCCAGGTAAATTGGCAAGAACAGATAACTCAGAAGACGAAATAGTTTTCCAAAAAAATTATTCTACTGAAATAACAATATTTCGTGAAAAATTATTGGTTGTTTTATTCTTGTATTACTTTAAATATATATTACGCACAAAACATTAAATAAATAGAGATTCACAATCTGGATGACATACTGTAGCTCTGATACTAAAAATAGAAATTGTGTCATTTAAACGGAAACAATGGACTATTTTATTTTATGATCTCGGTTCAATAGTCCCGAAGTTGATACGAGTGTGAGAGCGATATATAAATATTAAGTTTATATGTTTAGAGGAGTAAATGTAAATGTTACTTTGGTGAATTCAGATTTGTGACAATTAATAAGCTTAAATACACTTACGACAAATGCATAATAATTAACTAATGTTTTTGCACTAACAGGTTCATGCACTGTTAAAACTGGATGTAAAATTACGCCATTTTCTAAAGTAAAAATACTTTTTAATTTTTGTTGATTTACATGGTTTGTATATTTACATAAAAATCACTGTATTTTATTATGGGAACATTACTAAGGTAAAATTACATACAATATATTATTAAAATACATTTACATGTTATTTTACAGCATTCCAGTTGTAAAATAGCAAATAAATCGCATTAAAATGTAATTTTACATCAAATGTAAAATTGCTGTAAAATTGGAAAGTATTGAGTTGGCCTATTCCATCGCCATTGGTTATTTTTTTATTTATTTATTTTTTCTTTTCTTCTTCTCTGATTATTCCGATGAAAATTGATATCCATCCCAGTAGATTAGGCTAACCTAGTAGGCCTAATAATGGTCTAAGCTTTTGGTAGACAAATGGTGTCTAATGGTTAGGCTATGTTAGTCTCAAAATCTTGTAGCTTTTTTATAGGCAGATAAAAAATGTTTTGGATGAATTCCAAACTAAATCATAACGACAGGTAGGCTACTTCAGATGACTGGAGATTCGTAAAAAAATAAATCACAAAAAAACTCTAACAAAGAAACAATACGGACCTCAATGATTACGTCAAGGATTGTGATATATTTATAAAATGGAACATTATGGAAAAGGAGGTTCATGAACGCGAAATCGAACGCAGCCTTTCCGTCTGGGTAATCAGGTAGCCTAATTTCGCGCGCTAGATTATTTTTTCGTACTGAGAGACTTGCAAACTGAAACCTGTGCTGAAAAAGACTAAAGAGAGAATGGAAGAAGTAGATGTAGATCTAGAGGTTGAATCTATGGTCAGTATGATAGTTTAATATCATATTGCAACATGCCACTCTTGTATGTTTGTCAATTCTGTGAAAAGGAATTGAGTTCTGTAAAGGGCTATGTTGGTCACTACCGACTTCATCGCAACGTGAAAAATTTAGTATTCCCATGTTGTATTTCTGAGTGCAACAAAACGTTTGTAAAATTTATTTCATTGAAATGCCATATATCTCGAGATCATGGTAATGAGTCTGCAAGTGGTATTACTAATAGTATTTACCAATCATCGGGTTTGTTTATTAGACCTATGTCCAGTGCCAGTACTGCAACTACTAGTAGGCTTACTGGGACGGGCAGTGTCTCTAACTCTAGTTCTAAAGTTGGTCAAATTATATGTGGTCTGGCCGAATGCAGAAAAGAAATGGCAAGTATGAAAGAATTAGTTTCTCATCTAAAATTACACATGAGTGCTTTTCAGGCTATTCCTTGTACATACTTGACATGTTCTGCCAAATTTAATAAGCATAATTCATTAACATCCCATCTATCACGAAAACATCGAAATTTAGATACAGTAGAATTAAAAATAGAGTTTAGGCCCCCCCAGCTCTCATGTCCTTGAAACTGAAACCGCAGACAGTTTAGGAGTAGGACATCCAGATTCTACTAATGCTGACACTAATTTTGGAACTGATGTTGTTGAGGTATTAGATCTAGATTCAGAAACAGAGTTATCTTGTACACCTGAAGAATTTAAGAATTCGCTTGCACTGTTTTTTTTGAAGATGGAAGCTATTCATCTTATTGCCATAAGTACAATGCAATTAATATTAAATGATATTTCACATTTAACTAAACTTTCTCTGGATACATTACAAAAAGAGGTACAAACTGCAGTGACTGACCAGCATGAAAGATTAAAAATCAAAGAAGTTTTTGAAAGCAATTTTTTCCTTAAAGCCTTGTCAAATAAAGGGGAATTAAATACAGATTATAAAAGAAAACAATACTTTAAAGCTAATTTTAACTTTGTAGAACCCATTGAAATTAATCTTGGGCTTGATAAAAGTAACCAAAAATGTGTTTTTCATTATGTTCCAATAAAGGAAACGTTAAAAGCTTTGTTCAGCAATAAGACTTTTACAAGTCAGTATGAAAAGCCAGTCCATAATGATGCAGGAAACAACACATTTTCTGATGTTTTACATGGACATTCATTTAAGAATAATAAATATTTCATTGAAAATCCAAGTGCATTAAAAATTGTATTATATCAAGATGCATTCGAGGTTGTAAATCCACTTGGATCTGCTAAATCAAAATTTAAACTCATAGGTTTTTATTACACCTTACTCGATATCTATCCTCATAAGAGATCTAAAATAGATCCCATGCAATTATGTATATTGTGTAAAGAAAGCGATTTTACATTTTTTGAAAATGGTCAGAAAGTATTGGAACCTTTGATAAATGATATTGTGAGCTTATCAACTGGGGTCTTCATGAATGATGGTGCCTGTATTAAAGCTAATCTGGTTTGTATCTTAGGCGATAACCTAGGTAGTCATTTCATAGGAGGATTCAATACAAATTTTTCAAATTCAGAACACAGATATGTAGATATGTAGATATTGCCTTTCATCAATGCAAGATTATGAGGAAAACCCTTCATCAATAAGAGATGTTATCTTTAGGGATAAAGAAAATTTTAATGAAGCTCTAAATTATGTAAAGGAAAATGATGTTATTCATCATCTGGGAATTAAAACAGACTGTTTTTTTCATAAATTGGAAGGGTTTCATGTTTGTAACCCTAGTTTACCTCCATGTCTTGGACTAGTGCTGGGAATAATTATCGAAAATCCGATTATCGCTCTTATGTCATGTACCGATAACGATAATCGATGGTTCATTTCAAAATCGATTATCGCAAAAAATAACATAACCTCCGGTAATTCTGTTAAATTAATCCCGGGACCATAATAAAAACACGCTTTCGGCAGTCACGTACCGCAAAATAAACTAAGCTTAAGTCTTTATTCTCGTATGTTCTTCCATTTCTTTGATTGTATATGATCATAACAATCATTAATAAGAAAAATTTCATTCACAATAAATTAGTACAATCATTGTTATTATACGTATATATAATTAACTGAATACAGGTACCGATATTTGGGCATGACTTTCCCTTTATTTTTCACACGATTGTAGTTGTCTCCCTTTTTTTTATCAAGTCTAATTACGTAACGACAATGCTGATTGGATAATCAGTGCTGTTTATAAATAGAAGGCTAATCAAAATTCGTATAACAACGGTGCTTAGTATTTTAGTCTTGGTTGTCAAGAACGTGTGATGAAGTCAATTATTTTTACCATTCAACGGTACAATTATGCCGATGGCGATAATGACGAAAACTAATCTTCCAAACGTCTTTAAAACAAAAAGATTGGCCACATAGCGAAGAACATGATAATAAACACAATACACATACTAGCATCTAACACCAGCATTACATACAAGTAAGTGGTAGGCAGCCTAAATAGTTGAAATGAGTCGACTACTTGACCTAAAATTTGAGTATCAACATTACGATTTTTATCGATTATCGATCGGAAATGCCTAACGATATATTGCCGATAATCGATGATAATTTTAAATTCGATTCCCAGCACTAGTGGTCAAATATGATTTGGCGTTGTTTGTTAAAAATCTTGTTTCAAACAAAAAATGGTTTAAATTAGAAACAGTTAACTCTCTCATAACATCATTTAAGTTCACAGGTATGGATTTAAGCAACAAACCAGTTCCATTTAAAATGAAGTGTGAAGAAGCAGCTGGACATGCTGTCCAAACATGGGCTTTACTACGTTTTTTTCCGGTCATACTCTTTGATTATGTAAAAGATCATGATGACCAAACATGGCAAGCAATTCTTTCACTCAGACAAATTACAGAGTATTTATGTGCCCCATCCATCTCAATAGATCAAGTTGCAATACTACAACAATTGATTGATGAATATATTGGAATAAGACAGAAACTTTTTCCGGATAAAAAGTTAAGACCCAAACATCACTACATGCATCATTATCCTTATCTAATAATTCAATTTGGTCAATTTGGTACTAAGGGTGTGGACACTGCGATTTGAGTCCAAGCACACTTACTTTAAGAAGTGTATAAGGAGTTCCAAAAATTTTAAAAATGTTAGTAAAACTCTCTCAGAGAAACATCAGTTCCTTCAAGCCTATTATTTGGCAGGGAACCTTTTTCAACCAGAAGTAATTATGGAAAATTCTGTGCAGTTATCATTACGAATGCTTGGGGAAGACATAAAAAAAATTGTTATATGACAAGATTGGCAGTACAGATCATTTATCAATTTCAAACTCTATCACCATCAGAGGTAACATCAAGAAAGGAAATTTTTTGTTATTAGATGTCAAAGATGACAATTTTCGGTTGGTCAAGTAGATTTTTGTGTTATTGATTCAAGGAATAGGCCATTTTTTGTCTGTGAATATTTTTTAACTTCAAGAGAAAATTGTCTGTATGAGGTTGAAAATTATGCCAAGAAAGAAAACATTTTATGTGTCTCTGATACAGATGTACTGGATATGAGAGCTTTCAATTAGGTCGCATAGGGGATTCCCCATTCCATTTCATTTCATGGGGAAAATGCGACCTAATTGAAAGCTACCATTAAAGACCTAAACATCCTACATTTCATAAATTCTTACACTAAAAAAGACCTAAACATCCTACATTTCATAAATTCTTACAGCAAAAGACCTAAATTCCCTACATTTCATAAATTCTTACACCTATATTCCCTACATTACATAAATTCTTACACCCTTACATTTCATACACCAAAAAAAACCTTAAATCAATTTCCTACATTCCATCAAAAAAGCATATTAAAATTTTCTACTCAAATTTTAAACTTTAAAAATGGCAAATGAAATGCTAGATCCAATCTTTAGATTATACGATCCAATTCGTTATTCATTTAACAAGAAAAAAGAGGATTATATTATCATCTCACCCACTGTTGGTTCTAAATCCCAATTGAATGATGGTGGTAGATTTACCTTCGAAATCAATTCATTATCGAATTGGTTGCTTCTTTCCGATGCTTATTTCAGATGCGATTTCAAAATCAAAGACGCCACTCAGAATCAAGTTCCACAAACTAATACATCGTTAGAAAACAATTTCTTTCCATCTTTATTTAGCGAGATGGTTTTAGAAGCTGGTTCAAATCCGATAGAAACAATCAAACATCCTGGGGAATTCGACACAATGTTGAAAACAGTTTTATATCCTAAAGATTTCGATTCAGTTTCAGGCTGGATACCCGATGTTGGTGATGGAAGTATTTTAAAGGAACCGGTAAGAAATCTTGCAAATGATGCCGATTTAGCTAGAGTGAGAGTTGTTGCTCGAAACACGATAGAAAGAGTAGGACGAGCAGTTAATCATGGATTCGAAAAACGAGTACTTCAGTATAATAATGTTGTTGAGAATAATAGGTGGGGTAATTACGTAAATTGGAAATTATATCCTTTATTCGGTCAAAGAGAAATAAACGACGATAAGATATTCTTTGGAGAGAATGGTTCAGATGCAAAATTAGAAATAACGAATCTCCAACTTTTCATACCCGTAATAACACCATCAATTGAAGTAGAAACGAAAATATTCAACTCGTTAACTAAAGATATTGAAATAGCTTTTCTTCATCGTAACACAGTAGGTAGCATGACTTTAACGGGAGAATCCACTACATGGCCAATCACTAACACTATTAAACCAGCAAGATATTTAATAGTTGGTTTCAAGAACTTACCAGATTCTCAAACGAATAACAATAATGTCTTTAGAGTGGGAATGAACCAAACTCAAGATCCTTTAATCCATAAAGTTCAAGTAAGATTGAATAACGATAATTATCCTAACCAACCTTTAACAATTAATCCAACCACAAAGGATTATAATGAATTGTATAGAGACTATAAAAATATGTGTGAATTATTTGGAAATCTACCCCAGTTTGAATATGTTGATTTTGCACTTAATCACCCAATCTTCTGTTTTGATCTATCAGCTCACCAAGAAGATCTTTTCAAAACAGGAGTAAACATAAATATTCATATTGAAAAAACACAAGGAGATGTAACAGGTTATTGTTTATTATTGGAAGAAGCAAACCAGAAACTTTAGTCAAGAAAATAATAGAAGCTATAGAAACAGCTTCACCAACTACAATAACTTATAATGGTAAAAAAATCAGCATAACTAAAAAAAACTTATTGATAAATATAAATATTGTAAAGTCAGAGACGATATAGACTTAGAAAGAATTGACGCAAATGCAAAAGAAGGTGGATTTATATTTTCCCTACCTTTAATTTTTAGTGGACTTATTGCAGCCGGTGCAGTAGCTTGTGGTACAGCTACCGCAGTCAATGCTGCCAACGAAAAGAAAGCAGCTGCAGTAACAGCAGCCGAAGAACATAGACATAATTTAAAAATGGAAAAGTTGGCCAAAGGTTCAGGAGTGGGAGAAATGATAGGCACAATGAAAGAATTTGGAAAAAGATTTGGGGAAGAAACCAAGAAAACTGTTAAACAAGGATTAAATAAATTAGTAGATAGTATTGACACAGGAGAAATCAAAGTCAAACATAAGGGTAATGGAATATTTTTAAAAAATATACACACCGGAGAAGGAATATATCTTTCGAAGTATAAAGGAGAAGGAGTTATTTTTGGAACAAATTAAAATAATAAAAAATGGGTAAAAAATTTAATCATTCAGAAATATTTCCTAATAACCCAATGCTCATGTGTATATGCGGTAGTTCCGGTTCTGGGAAAACTCATCTCACTTTTAACATGTTGACAACACCAAACCTTTTAGATTTCGATTCTTTGTATATCTACACAACAACACCAGAGCAATCGTATTATCAATTTCTCAAAGCTTTAGAATATCTACCAAAGAGAGATGTTCAAGACCTATTTCAATATTACAAGGAAAACGAAGAAAAAGTGGGATTGAAAGATTTCATAGATAACTACATCGAAGGAAAGAAACCAACGGATATAAAAGTTTTTCTTACGAAAAATGTTAATGATCTAGATTTGTCTCAAATTGATAGCGAGCGAAAGAACTTACTAGTGTTTGACGACTGCGTAGCGCAAAGAAATCAAACGGTTCAACAAGAATTCTTCACGAAAGGAAGACATCACAACTGTCACTGCATATACCAATCCCAATCTTTTCACGGGATGGATTCTATGTTCATTAGAAAAAATGCATATTGTTTTTTATTATTTGAATTAAACGACAAAGATTTATCTCAAATCGTTCAATCGATAAATCACGGAATGGACAGAGATGCATTTAAAAAGGTTTGTAAAGCTCAATGGAGATATCCAGATGATCATGGATATGTATTTGTAAATACTAGAAAACCTGCGGGTGAAAGAGTTATGAACGATATATGTTAATTTTATTTTTTTTAAAAATGAGTAGCGATTGGAATAATATTTTAAAAAGAAATAGAGAATATATCAAAGCTAAGAATAACATAAAGACCCAAGTTGAAAATAACAGATTACAACAACTCGGATTAACGGAAAATCTACAGACTCTATTTCAACCCATATTAAAATCTCAAGAGGATATTAAAAGGAAATTAGAATATAAACCTCCTATAGAACCTACACCTCCCAAAGCGATTGAATATGATGGTATTATAATTAGGACATTAAATGATATAAAACGTCTTTTTTCAAACCCTGACCCAGATTTATCAAAGAGCATTTCACCAATCGTTGATAATCAAGGTTTGTTGTTCAATGGTTTTAGAATTATATTTAGTGGAAATTCACCACAATTCAAAATCGACACAAAAGATTATATATACACATTAACGAGAGGGTTAATAGATTTAATGAATGGCGAGGATGTTGGTATTGCCGATTACAAGGATTTAGTAGCATACTCAAAATTTCTACATGCAATAAGAAAGTCGGGACCCGAAACAAGAAGATTAAAAACAGTTGAAACATATTTAAATAAAGTTATTCCTGATGAAGAGGAATCAGATGATTATGCAGAAGATTATCCACCAATCATACAAGAAATAGACAAATTCGAAGATATGTTATCTGGAGAAGGTATAACGTTTTTATCCGACAACAACGAGGAACTACTTAATAGATTACAAGTAATATTAGCGGCCATGAAGGAAGGACATCGATCGCACAGACAATATAATGAAGTAAATTGTATATTAAAAAAGACTCCTAGAGAAAGTTATTATAGATAAAAATGATTATAAAAGCGTGATTAAAAATGTCAAATAAAGAACAACTATTCGTCATCACCTCGAATAAATCAGACATCAAATTGTCTCTAGATTATGAGTACGAACTCGATCGCAATCAAGAATATGAATTGGGATTAAAGTATTTCTCTGTTTACAATTCCATTAGAAATATCAACGAAAAAAATAACCAAATAAAAATATCAACAGATAATGGAGCTACATTCAAAACCATACGTTTACTACCAGGAAGCTATGAATACATAGCCATTAACGAATACTTATCTGAATACGCAGGAAGCGTCAATGGTAAAAACAACATCGAATTCGAAGGTAATTTGAATCTAAACAAAATAAAATTGATATTAAGAAATAATTGTCAAGTTGATTTCAACGTAGAAAATTCATTGAATACGTTACTAGGCTTTGATAAAAAAATATACACCCAATCCACTTTAGCACCACACAAAGCTAATATCGAGAATGATATCGATGTGATAAATATACATTGCAATTTGATAAATGGTGGATTTTTCAATAAATACAAACGTCAGATTATTTACAGTCTTCCAACATTCACTGTACCGATAGGATATAGAATTATAGAGAAACCATTTCAAACGACGTATTTACCACTTAATTCCTTTATGATTAAAAATATAAATCTGGAAATCAAAGATGGTAAAAATAGGTTTATAGATTTTGGTAACGAGGAAATTGTTATTCAACTTCATTTAAAACAAAAAAATTAACACTCTTCATTCTGTTCTTGAATAGTTAGATAATCGAAATCATCAAATTCATAGTTTTCATCCAAACTCATCTCATCTTTATTGTTGTAAGGATACATAATTCCTTCACTGTTTGGTGCTTTTCTCTTAACGAGATTCAGATAACTTCTGAAAACTTTCTTTTGTTTTTCATTAGGAATAACTATTCCATCAGTAAAACGTTTTACTTAAGGTTTCTTAAATTCATTCGTTACGTCATGTCCACTAGCTAATTGAATGTAGTCTTCTACCTTAATCTTATAGTTAGAGTAACCCTTAAACGTTTTCTTTTCTTTTAAAACACCATCGGTAGTTAGAATGATATTGTATTTTACTTTTGGCGCTAAATATAAACCAAATATGATTCCACCATCACCGTAATCATTCTTCCCTTTGCTATATTCGTTTTCAGACACCAACCCAGCTTCATTTAATTTATCCCAATTGCTAGACGAAATGTATAAACTATCGGTATCTGTATAGTATATTTCCGGCTTATAAAATCCATCTATTACGTGAATGAAATTGTTCATTATTTTTTTACTGTGAGATAATATAAATGCACCTAAATGAGTGGGTGTTAATCTAGTATAATCCTTTTGAGGAACAAACTCTTTTTCTTCTTCATTCATCTCAACTATATATTGACTATCATTTACTTTTTCATAGCTTTTGACGTGTGAATCGAAGTTGGCTTTAAAGTCGCTTCACTCCATAGATGTCTCGATGGATTTATATCCTTCTGAATAGATTAACCGTATAAGGAATTACCTAATAATTTCATGCAATTACTAGCAACCATATCTCCTTCTTTGTTGTATTTATTCCTTCAAAATTAAAATATAATCTCTGTATGGTGGAGTTTTAAAATTTTCTTCGTAAACTATACCATCTAATATTCTAATAATTTTACCACCGGATTTCACTATTTCTTGAATATCAACTGATGTTAAAACGTCGTGACAGAAACCATTTCTGAACCTGATTTTAGTGCCAGTTTCCTTCTGACCTTGGGGATATTCAAACCAAACTTTTAAAATAGCAGTTCTAGGTCTGAATTTTTGTTTATTGAAGATTTTTTACAAATTCTTTTTCTTCTTCTGGTAGAAACGCTCTTGCACTTTCCGCTTTAGGATATTCACCTTCTGTCATGGCTGAAGCGTAAAACCCATTAGCGTCAAATGCCATCAGTTTAGAATAGTCCAGTTCTTTGAGTTTAGCGTGAACTTCCGTTTTATCTTTTGGGTTAACACTGTATTCTTTGAATAAATCTATTATTCCTTCAGTGTCACTTTCATTGTATTCTTTTAATATGGCGCAGATCTCATTCATTTTATCCGTTTCAAATGATTTTCGATTTGCCGAAACTCTTCCGCCTTTAATACTTTGTCTGATAAAATATCTTATAAAAGGGTGAGTATGCGAGTAAACTTTTTCTACGTTTTGTTTTTCCGTATGTTTCGGAACCATTCTAGTACTTTCATACCATTCTTCTTCAACCATTTCTTTATCGTAATGATATAAATAATACCAACCCTTTAAAGATAAAGAAGGAGCCATTAGATTATTGGAAACGTTTTGGAAGACAGTTTTTTTCATGGCTTGATTGTATTTTATCAAACAAGCTCCGAGACACAATGTATCTCTTTTAGCGTAAGGTTCCCATTCGGGTCTTAAAGATTCCCAATTATCTTTAGCGTATTTTGCAATATTAACATCCTCGATCTTTCTCAAATTCATTGGTAGATTAGATGAATTTCCCCATGCCGCTAAACTAGATTTTTCATGTTGATAGGAACATGTGAAATTAATATTTTGCAAATAATTAGAGTTACCCTTTATTTCTTTCTGTCTTTTCCATTTTTTCTGTAAATCTTCATCTTCACGGTTTTGATCATGATCCAGTTATCAAAACCGCTAGCGTTATGAGCAATTAATGTTATTCTTTTCTGATCTATTTTTCCTAAACGTTGTAACATTTGATCGATGCAATCTGTACCTACAAATATTTCTACTATATTAGTCATGAGTTTGTTGTAAAATTCTTCTGGAATGGGATCTGTCGGCTTTAAATCTGGAAAGAGATTATTTCTTCTGTTTAACATTTTCCTTAGTTTTTCTAAATTAACTAAAGTGCAGGAATAAGGTATGGCTTTATTTTCGTTGTAGGTTTCGCAATCCCATGCGTATAAACAATCATCGTGAATGGTTGGAAAAACGTTTAGTTTTAGAAGTGAAACTTGCGTTATCGCATTATCATCTCTACAAGTTCTCCATACGTTTTCATCGTAATTATCTTCTATTTCTTTAATGCCCAAAGTTTTGTTATTTCTTCTTATCAAACAGAAATGTTCTTTGTGTAAATAAAAAACCCAATCTAATTCTTCGGTTACTTTCTTTGGTTGAAAATGTCTATGTTTGGGCATATATATTTGAAAATTAGTATTAAATTTCTTATTGAATTCGCAAATTCTAGCAGTTGTCATAACTCCTTTTCTGTTTGATTTTTGAAAACTGTTGATGAAATCTTGAAATTCTCTCGTGTAGTCTTCGTTTAAAACACGATTAACGCACTTTACAAAGCAGCATCCATCACTCGGTATATAACAATTTATACCGATATATTCTTTTATCTTTTTGAGTAGGCTAACACCACTACCCTTTTTTGATCTTTTTATTTCTTTGAAATTGTTTTTATGGAAAATCATTTTTCCTGTGAAATACCAATCGGAGGCATCCAATAACATTGGAAAAAAGATAACTTGATATAAATTTATTCATATTTTTAAAGCAACTATTTTTAACTAGGAATTTTAACTTTTATTGATGATATTTCTACTTCAAATTTATCTAAAATTTCATTGAATTCTTCTAATTCTTCAATGGTTATGTTCTTATCCTCTCTCGATCTTTCGAAAAATATAAACAATTTATTAAGATATATATTTAAAATTTTGTTTTCCTTTTATAATGAGCTTTCTGTTTTGATGTAAAACCTAAAGTAATCAAACCACAAGATGAAGTTTGAACGGCAGTGAACGCGGCTAATACAGTTGGGACGATGATCGGAAGCATTAATCCACCGGTTACGGCTGTTGCCACCGTTATCCCTATTGTTAAAACTGTACTTAATGTTTTGAAAACAGAATCGATTTTACTCCATGTTTTTCTACATTTGTTGAATTGTTTTAGTTTTTCTTTTAGTCCATTTTGTTTTTCTATCATGTAGTTTTGTCTACTTTCGAGTTCCATTTTTAGGTAATTAAATTAAGTGAACTTCTGATAAAAATACTTTGTGTTTACTATCTTCAATAAAAACATTTACAGTTACTAATGATATTTGTTCTTTCGAATCATTAATCTTATTCAGATGAACTGAAAATTTTGGTTTTTCAATATAGACAAATATTTTAACAAATACATCATCTCTTATTAAAAAATTTTGTTGTTGTTGACTTTTATGAATATCAATTGAGGTAAATATATCATCAGTAACAAAATATAGTTTTACGTATTCAAAGTCTGTTGCTCGTAAAAACTGATAAGTGATTACATCTTTTTCTGGTTCTGGATTTCTAATAATACTTACTGATGGTGGAGTTTCCGTTTCCAATATCATATCAAAATCACCCAATGAAAGTTCATCTTCTTTATTATCTGGTATGATTAACATTCTAAACCTATCTATATATTTTCCACTTGTTTTAATTTCATATAAGTGACGAGGCTTGTTGTTTTCATCGTTAATTTCTAATTCTTTAGTTTCTACATTTTTTGTACCATTGATAAACTGAAGAACTTTGCGAGCGTTAAATTTCATATGTGAGTTTTGTCTGAAGAATATTGATTCAACTTTTACCTGTATAGGAAATGTTATTTCAATTGTAAGTTTTCCTCGGAAATAAAAAAAATATTAATTTATAATCATCTGAATCAAAAATATTTTGGGGGGAATTATCACTATCTGGAACAGAATATACTCTTATATCTTTTATATTCATAGTCTTTTGATCTATCAATATTATCAGTAATAGAAACATCGTAATCTCTCTCTTTTCCAAATGGAAGATTGAAATAATATGATTCTTTCTTGAGAAACTTTTTTTCTAATGCGACTATATTTTTGTCCTGTTTTAAAACTAGGTTATTAATAGTGGTTATCTGTTGTTGAATAACACTATCATCAATATTTTGTATTTGTTGATGAATATAGGTTTTGATTTCGCTATCATCAATATTTTGTATTTGTTGTTGAATAACAATATCTATGTTTTGTATTTGTTTTTTAATATTTGTTAGTTCTTTTTGTAATTCACTGTTAAGTTTAGTTTCCAGAGCATTTAATTCCTGTTGAAACGTATCTTCATTTTCATCTGGAATGTTATCTATCAATTGTTGAATGTCTAATTTTTGTTTTGCAATCTTATCCTCTAATTTAGATATAAATGAAATTAAATTTTGTAACTCAGTTTTGTTCGCTACGTTGACCAATTCTTTTTGAATAAAACTTTTTAAACTTGTTACCTCTTGTTGTAGTTTAGTATCATTAACAACATTTTTATTATTTAGTTGACGTTTGAAGAATCTTTTCACATTACTTATTTTATCTTCTAAATGGTTTTTATTTACTTCAATTGAATTTATTTGTTCCATTAAATATTTCTTGTGAATGGCATCATTATCGTTTTCTGGAGACTTTAAATTAGTTATGCTAAAATTGTTCATATCTAAATCACCTTGAAGAGTGTCTCCGATTTGATCCACAAAGTAAGGTTTCGCTTTATTTATCCACGCTGTAGTGTTAGGTTTTTTGGTTTCTAAAGGTAAAGAACCTAATCCAAACTTATTCGCCATTTTTATTGAGTTAAATTTATTACAATTTCTTCAAACTATTTTCCTAAACTCAACTGATATAAAACCCAAAGTGAAAGCTGACCACAACACTTTTGTCCCGGTAATTGAATTTGAAATGTTGAACATTTGATTGGTTTATTAGTCAATTGGATTATCTCTTCGGTGGGTTCTAATCCATAAGAATCGAAGAAATAAAAGTCAGAGTCTTTGTACAAAGCAGAATGATGAACTCCTTTTTGATCGGAAGTATGTATATTTGTTATAGCGTAAAATTTACCTTTCTTATATTTCAGATCATTTATTTCATCTCTCATACAATAATAAAACGGTGATATATTTAACTCATTCGCCCATCTCATAAGTTGAAAGTTTGTGGTTGTATCGCTTCCATATTTATCGAGAAATTCATTCATTTTTAAAAGTCGGTTTTTTTGAAATATATATACATAGTTTGTGTTTGAAAAAAATTGTATTACATTCAATAATATTTTGAACATAAATTTGCATTTAAATTTAAAAAATTTAAAGCGTAAATGCTTGTCTACATCTCTTAATCTTCTATCAAATTCTTCATCATTCATTTTTAAAAGTCGGTTTTTTGAAGTTCGTTTTGATAAAACCTACCTATGATTTGTTCTTTGTCTTGATCGATTAATTCATATGTCGGAGGTGATGTAGTGTTTACTTTATCAACGATGAATATTTCGTTCGTCCAGTATCCAACGTAACCTTTTTCGAATTTACTTTTATATTTGAAAATACGAACTCGATCTCCAACTTTAAATTTGGGTTTGATATTTAAATTCTTTATTTCATTTTCGTAGTTATGTTGCGCGTTAATTGACTTTATAATATTTGGATTACTCGAGGCTTGTGTTGGTGTGACACCTATAGATGAATGAATTTTGTTATTGTATTCATCTACAACCTCTGGTAATATTTTAAGCCATTTTGGGGATTTCAATTCTGTGAACTTTTTGAATAATTTATTTTTTAGAGTCCTGTTAAATCTTTCAATAACTACAGCTTTACCTTCGTTATGTGTACTGTAAATTTCAAATCCCAGAGATTTCATATTTTTGTTATAAAATTCACTTCCTTTATCTACCCATAGTTTTTCTGGATGACGGTTAGATTGTTTCATAATCGTTTCAAATGAGTGTTTGACTGATAATCCCGTTTTGTTTTTCAAAGGAATAACCCATACATATCTCGTTTATAAATCTATAACTGTTAAGCAATATTTAAATCCTCTTTCGACTGGCATATGCATTAAATCGGCTGACCATATTTCATCTTTTTCAAACACTTTTACTTGATTCTTTGTGTATTTCATCCGCCAATCCCATACCTAATTTCATCTTTGCTTTTAACAGTTTAATGATTAATGCTCTTTGCATTCTCTCTTTGAAAGTTGGATTTGGAATATTTTCAAGTTCTATTATTATTTGTTTGTCTGCTTCGTGTCTAAACTTTATGTCTTTGTTTCTGTATAAAATATCGTGTTTGAGCTCAGCGGCGTCAACTCTATTGACTGGTTCTTCTCCTGGTTTGGGTTTATCGTTTTCGTCTAATCGCAGATCTAACCTAGTACCTGGACCAGTGTAATTATGACCGGGAAGATGTTTTTCTCCGGGATATTTCGCCCATGGAAATCCAGGAAGAGAACCCTATGATTTTTGTATATCTCCTGAACCGAAATAAGTTTTTGGAGCGTGAGCGACAATCATTTTTATCCTATAACTTTAAAACCTTTTCCTTTCCTTTCTTCTAATCTCCTGTTTCGAAGTTCTCTTATTAGTTCTAATTCTTTCAACTCGTTAGATTGTTTCACTGTATCGCTTATACTCTTTCCAGCTTCCGCGATTGAGCCGATGGCTTTCGCTCCGCTTGAAATGAGTGATTTGTTTTTTGAAACAAAACTAGCTACTTTTGGAATTATTGTTTTACCTAGAGAAAATAATGAAGAAAAGATACCGTCACCCGAATAATCTTCGAATCTGTGTTGTTCGTGTTTTAGAATTAAACACATCCTATTTTTAAATGAGTTAATTTAGTCTGTTTTTTTATCCAAATAGAGTTATCTCCCATCTACATTATTTTAAAACCAGATGTTATTTTATATAAGGTTATTTTTAATATGCTGTTTTTGATGGAATGTAGGAAATTGATTGAAGGTGTTTTTGGTGTATGAAATGTAGGGAATTTGTGTTATGTAGGGAATATAGGTGTAAGAATTTATGAAATGTAGGGAATTTATGTAATGTAGGGAATATAGGTGTAAGAATTTATGAAATGTAGGGAATTTAGGTCTTTTGCTGTAAGAATTTATGAAATGTAGGATGTTTAGGTCTTTTTTAGTGTAAGAATTTATGAAATGTAGGATGTTTAGGTCTTTATGGGAGCTTTCAATTAGGTCGCATTTTCCCCATGAAATGAAATGGAATGGGGAATCCCCTATGCGACCTAATTGAAAGCTCTAGTACTACTGATATGTTTCCACTTAATTCTTACCATGTTGGATCCAGCAATGTCATTGCACTGAAGCATTTTCCTTTAGTTACTTACTGAATAAATTGTATAATTTGTCCTGTTACAGACTCTTTTGAAGAATTTTTCTCATTAAAAATCAGTCACATGTCACATCTTTTCCTACAACATGCTTACTTGGTAATCTTTATTTTACTAACAAATTTTGAAATGTTCAGGTGCTAATTTTTTATATGGTAATTACAACATTGCAGACAAACCTTGAGTTTCAGGAAAAAATCATAACCTTAAAACTATATACTATGACTGTACACTATAATATTTTTTAACATTACAGGTTATTCCAGAATTATATGAAGTTAATTCAGGAGTTGACGCCAAAATTAAACCAAACCCAACGTAGATTAATTGAAAGTACATTAAACAACTTGGGAGTCAAGCATATAGACGATCTAGTTGTAATAGAACCAACAGATCTTACTGAGGCAATGACTGTAGTACAAGCTCGTAAATTATGCTTAGCAATAAAGGCTCGGCAAGAACAGTTGAAAGGTAAGTATGGTATGGTCACTACTGTACCTCTTTGCATGTGGAAATAGAAGGTGTTTTTCAAAATAAAACTACTCCATGAAAGAGATGCAGAGTTAACAAAGTTGCAGTAGCATCAGGTGGTCTGTACGGAAAAGCATGGCCTGTCTCTGTTCTGCCAGTTACACCTTCCACAGTATCCGACATAGGGAATCTGTGATTGGATGGCAAGTGATGACCTTGAAGTCAGTGCCATTAGCCTATTGGTTAATAATGAACTTCCTAAAGAAAAACAACTAGCTAAAATACTTTGTTCTCACTAGATTTCCTTGAGTTTCATAGTGCCATTCAAGAAAAATCTTTCAATGAAATGGATCTGTTCAGCAATTGAAGTGTGTGGATTCTTATAAAGCAAAAGATTGTATTCAGACAGTGAGCTTGGTTAATTTGAGTGGAATTTATCGATGACTAGGATCATTTTGATTAATTCACTAAGTTATTATTATTCTTTTGCCATTTCAGGTTCTTCAAATAGTGCAGAAAGTGGGGAATCATTGTTCAACTCTTTATCATCTCCGATTGACACTTCTACTCCAGACAGCCCAAGTCCAATACCACAGTCTTCACAGTCATCACAGTCATCAACATCTTCTGATTCCATTATTTTCTGTTCCCAGAAAACAACTTCTACAGCAGATAATCCATGATCCAATTGGCTTATGACGTACGATATCCCTTACAACAAATTTTCAAGCAAATTGACAGAAAACCTGAACAAAAGTATTCGTCCATCGGATGCAGACAGACGGGAAATGGTACGAATTTTGGTAGACGATATTCAATGTTTCTGTAGGAAACCCAGCAGTACAGATCTGGCAGCGATTGCCATGAAAATTGTCAAAAAACATCAGGCATCATTATGTGATTTACTGAATGGAAAGTTTTAGGACATTCATTGCAAAAGATTGACTGGGCAGGATATAGAAGAAAATTATATCATGCTGTCGAAAGAGATTAAGGAAACACTTTTAAACCATTTCAAAAGTTTGAAAACTCATGGTCCCATCAAGGATCTGATTCAAGAACTTAAATCAGAAGCAGATATGCAAGGCAATTCTTGTTTCATGAGAGCAATAGCAATGATGTTAATGCTGTATTTTAAAGAAACAGACCTAATTCAAGTTTTTCAGTTCTTACTTTATTCTTCATATCACATTCACTTGGTTTCTATAGTGATATCTTGTTATCTAACAAGACTTAGTGGCCTTGCTTGTTATTAAGATTACCAACTTCTGATATACTCAAGTTTTCACTTTAATTACTATTTGAAGCTATGTGGCATATTTCAATATTTTTAATTTTGTATTGATTCTCATTCTTTTTAGGAAACCAGTGATATCAAACTCATAGAGACTGTGATTAGAGGCCAGTCAGAGAAAGCTCCTGTTATATGTGTTGTTGGTGAGTATTGTGATGGTTATTTTGATGTTTTCCAGGATTCTTATCTTCAACAATTGAGGATCAATTATAAATAATGTTGGCCTTATTATAGTACCGTACTTTAAACAAATAACTGTTGAATGGAATAAGACTAATGTGCCATTCAGATGTACTGTCAACTCCTCTTAATATTAAAATAGATAGATTAACTGAATGTATATAATTTTTCTATAAAATTATGTTTTTCAGGAAGACTTCACTCTTCCCAAATTTTTCACATTTTTTTGTGAAGATATCCTAATTACCACATTGAGCAATTTTGATGATGCAGTAATGGTCTGTTTTAGTTTATACTATATTCTTAATCATACCATACCATCATACCAAGGGGTCAATAACATTGGAATTTATTCAACGGTAAGCATAATGTATATTTATATTCTGTCAACCACATTTGCTTGTGAGTGTCAGTGTGATAGAAATTAAATCTTAACCAACTTTACACCCAAATTATTTCTTAAGCTTGTGGCAGACGAGCATATTTTATCGCCTTTTTGTAGCGAATTTTATAATCGCTCACAAAATTTCTTAAATACCCGCTCATGTCGATGGCGAACTTTAATGGTAATGCGTATCTTTTTTTTCTCCATTATGATTAACAAATTTAGAATTCAGATACCTGGAAGTTTTTTTTGTTCTAAAATTGTAGGCTTAAAAACACCGGAATTGAAAGCTAACAGGTTAGAAGTTTTAAAAGGTTTGAAATCCATGGGATAACGTCTTGTTGCCACGCTCGGAGCTGTGTACAGTTCTAGTTTTTTTTTCATATTTGAAGTTAATGCTATTTTTGTATATATTTCAGAGTTTTGGTAGGAATAAATCCAGTAAAGGGAACAAAATCCTCAAAACTTAAAGGAAAACGGAGCCAAATACATCCCAAAGTGCTGTCCTTGTCAAATAAACTTAACTCATAAACATTGTTTTGGCATGTTAATAATACCTATTATTTAAAAGTTTGTTAAAATAGTGAGGATCACCATTTTCATTTTGTATTTTTATTAGTGAAATGGATACTTTCTGTGCCCATTATAATGTGGATTTTCAAAGTAAAGAGAGTGATAGTTATTTTATTGCTCATATATATATGTGTAATGCTAATGTTAATTGGAAAAAAAGACTTTTTTTCGATTTTAGATTGTGTAAACATTAATTTTATATTAAAGCATAATAGAACATTTTCAGAATAATCCTTTTTTCTCAAACTTAAAATTGTTCAGAAAATCAGTTCAAGTGCATTAAATGACATCAAGCTTCCAGCAAAATCGTGTCAAGACAAGTTTCAGTCAAATATGTAGTAAATTTACATGAAAATGTAAACTTTTAAAATGGCCTTGTGGACCTAATGAGTGTAAAATTACCTACACAGCTATGTCAATTTACCATTTTTTGACTGGCAGAAAAGTAGTAGTATATGTGTTTTCTGATATAGCGCATCCAGTTTGATCCGGTTTTTGAGATGTCAGGTATATGTCTTTTCGGATATGACGCATTTCACTTCTGTGCATGCGCAGCTTTTTCAATGCGTCATATCCGAAAAGACACAACTGTTAAAATGTATTATAACAGACTTCCCCAAACTGTTAAAAAATGTATTATAACAGACTTCCCAAACTGTTAAAAAAATATATCATAACAGATTCCTCCAAACTGTATTATAAATTACCCAAAACCACAGACAAGAATCACTAATAATAATACAGTATAAAATAACCGCATTAAAAATGTCTTTAATTTTAAAACACGAAAAAAAAAAAAAAAAATTCGAAGGAGACGGTTTCTTCTCTGCGCTAACATCTCTCATCCCCAAAGTGGCCAATTTTGTCTCAAACAACAAATCCCTCATTTCCTCAGAAGCGCAAGCTCTTGGATCTGTGGCAAAAGCAGGAGTAAATATTAGCGATGCAGTGAAAAAATCTGACGAACTTAAAGAACTGCAGCTAATAAGAGAACTAAGAAACAAGGAAAAGGGTTTAAAATCATTGGGTAAAAATGGCAAGCAAAAATTACAGATTGGATCCAATCTTTCAATTGTATGATCCGATTCAATAGTCGTTCAACAAGAAGAAAGAGGATTACGTAATCATCTCACCATCGGTAGGGACAAAGACCCAAATAAACGACGGAGGAAGAGTTGCCTTTGAAATTAATTCGTTGTCCAATTGGTTGCTGCTTTCCGATGCCCATTTCCGATGCGATTTCAAAATCAAAGACGCCACTCAGAATCGAATTCCACAAACCAACACGACTTTAGAAAACAACTTCTTTCCGTCTTTATTCAGCGAAATGGTTTTGGAAGCTGGTTCAAATCCGATAGAGACCATAAAACACCCCGGCGAGTTTGACACAATGTTGAAAACGGTTCTGTATCCCAAAAACTACGATTCACTTTCGGGATGGATTCCCGATGTCGGTGACGGAGAAGTTTTAAAAGAACCGGTCAGAACTGTAGCAAATGACGCAGACCTTGCTAGGATAAGGGTAGTTGCTAGAAACACACTGGAAAGAGTGACTTGCGGAGTTAATCACGGATTTGAAAAACGAGCGCTTCAATACAACAATGTTGTCGAGAACAACAGATGGGGTAATTACGTTAATTGGAAGTTGTATCCTTTATTTGGTCTCTTGGAACACAGAAAGGTTTCCATAGGTTTACTGTATAAAATTCATTTGCAAAGAGAAATCAACGACAACAAGATATTCTTTGGTGAAAACAACTCTGATGCAAAATTGGAAATAACGAATATCCAACTTTACATACCGGTAATCACTCCTTCCGTAGAAGTGGAAACGAGAATATTCAACTCTTTAACCAAAGACATCGAAATTGCTTTTCTTCGTCGTAACACGGTAGGTAGCATGACTTTAACGCGAGAATCCACCATGTGGCCAATCACCAACACCGTCAAACCAGCGAGATATCTAATGGTCGGTTTCAAAAACTTGCCACACTCTCAGACAAACAACAACAACATTTTCAAAGTGGCATTGAACCATACTCAAGATCCCATCATTCGCAAAGTTCAAGTCAGATTGAACAACGATAATTATCCCAATCAACCTTTGACTTCCAAAAAAGATTACAACGAATTGTACAGAAACTATAAAAACATGTGCGAATTGTTTGGAAATACGCCTCAGTTTGAATACACAGATTTTTCACTCAATCATCCAATCTTTTGTTTCGATCTGTCAGCTCATCAAGAAGATCTTTTCAAAACAGGGGTAAACATAAATATTCACATCGATAAAACACAAGGAGATGTGACCGGCTACTGTTTATTGCTGGAAGAAGCAAAACATTTGATTAAAATATCAAATAGAAGAATGATAAGAATTGAATAAAAAAACACATTTTAAAAATGAAACCAGAAACTTTAGTCAAGAAAATAATAGAAGCTATAGAAACAGCTTCACCAACTACAATAACTTATAATGGTAAAAAAATCAGCATAACTAAAAAACTTATTGATAAATACAAATATTGTAAAGTCAGAGACGATATAGACTTAGAAAGAATTGATGAGAATTTAACTAAAAAAGGTGGATTTTTACCTTTCTTACCTTTAATCTTTGCTGGTTTAGCTGCAGCTGGTGCAACTGCTGGTGGAGCTGCTGGGATAGCCAAAGCTGTCAACGATAAGAAAGCTGAAGCCGCTGCAAACGCCGAAGCGCATAGACACAATTTGGCAATGGAAAGAGAAGCACGAGGAGGTTCGGGAGTAGGAGATATATTAGAGACGATTAAAGAATTCGGACAAAGATTTGGCGAAGAAACCAAGAAAACTGTTAAAGAGGGATTAAGCAAATTAATAGATAAAATCGACACTGGAGAAATGAAGGTCAAACACAAGGGCAACGCCATATTTTTTAAAAACATACGTTTGGGAGAGGGAATCTTCCTTTCAAAGTATAAAGGCAACGGAGTGATTTTTGGTACGAAAATGTAATGAATAAAAATGGGCAAGAAATTCAAATATTCGGACATATTTCCTAGTAACCCAATGCTCATGTGTATTTGCGGTAGTTCAGGTTCTGGGAAAACTCATCTCACTTTTAACATGTTGACAACACCAAACCTTTTAGATTTCGATTCTCTGTATATCTACACAACAACACCAGAGCAATCGTATTACCAATTTCTCAAAGCTTTAGAATATTTACCAAAGAAAGACGTACAAGACATATTTCAATATTACGAAGAAAACGA